CTCAGAGGGTCTGCTGGGGTAATAATAGTTGTAAAGCGCATAGAGCAAGCTCTTGAGCAGGGATATGCGGTATATAAATGCAATTATTATTATATTCTAAGAGTCCTTCTATAACATTTCACTTCCAATAATGAAATCCTTTTTGAAACTATAGTCCATTCTTGTGCTATTTTTGTCACAGCTATTATAATAAGTCTGAATTCTTTTCTTGAACAAGTTCGTTCATGTTTGAAGTAAGCTTCTGTGTCACGGAAATTCACCGGAACTCTAGCCTGTCTAAAATTCTCTCTCAGGCCGGTTGTGATTGTTTGCCCGAACGGAACGTGGCCTCCGGGCCTTAAGTTAAGTTTAGTTTAGTAAGGTTTTACGGTGCTCGCAATTGCATAAGGTCACACGAGCTCCAAGGGATGGCTGTCAACAGAGAAGTCCAAACGGGGAATCAGGCTTACTCTGCTCACCTCTCTAGCTCCAACAGCACAAAGTCTGCTTCGGCTATCAAGGCACCCCGGAAATAGCAGTTCACAAGAGAGTGACAAACACACAACAGAAGTAGAGAAAAAATGACCATAGTAAGGATGAGGGGAAAAAAGGCTGCAGTTCCTCTTTTGTTGTTCCGGCACAGTATGAGCACGACATTGATAAATCAGCACATTTACAATTCTACTGTGTATAAGAACATGTTAACACCTCCCCTTTTTCGGAAAGGCCTAAAGACAACTTGAGCCAGTAGCACTGCTCTGGTGGAGGGGGGTGGGGGTTGACCTAGAGTTTGACACTTGTGATCTAAATAGTGCGTCAAAAGCGACGTTGGGGGCTCTAGTGGCCAAGAGGTTAATGTGTTCGCCTCTCATTCAAAGGTTCCGGGTTCGAATCCGGGTATTGTCCGAAAAATTTTCATCTCTAAAATTGGAAAAATCTCGGAGGTCCCCTGTGCAAGTTGCACACGTTAAATTCAAAATTTCCTACCTACAGAAAAAGTTTAATGTGTCCCGCGCGCTCATATGACCTAATGCAGTTGCGAGCACCGTAAAACCTCTACAAAACAAACAAACCACAGACACACCTGCTGTTCCCGCCACCGTTCTCCATGACGTAGCTGCTCTCACACGGTCCCTGGGCACACGAGGCGGTCAGGCTGTAGTTGTGGGACTGGCTGGAGGCGATCTCGATCTGAGGGCAGGGTACCATCGTCATCAGGTTATTATTGTTATTAGTATTCATCGTTATCATTGTCGTCGTTGTTGTTGTCGTCGTCATCGTCGTCATCATCATCATCATCATCATCATCATCATCATCATCATCATCATCATCATCATCATCATCATCAGTATTATTAAAACCCTAATTATATTACTACTTAATCATCATCATCATATTGTTATCATTTTCATTGTTATTATGATCATTGCTATTATTATTATTAATCAACACCTGGACGCACAGTTATATAAGTCGAGTGACGACAGACAGAAACTATGTCAGGAAAGAATGTCAAAACTGCAGGTTCTAAAACGGACGCTTCTCGGACAAGGGTGAAAAATCGCGGAGGTCCCGTGTGCAAGTTGTGCACGTTACAGATTCCTTGGTGGTCTAAAATAAATAAGAATAGGCTTCGGCCACCACCCGGGCAAATTAAAAAAATATCCTTCCAACTGAAAATGTTTGGTGTGTCCTGTACGCTCAATAATGACCTTATGCAGTTGCGAGCGCCGTAAAACACTTACTAAAATTATTTCAAAAAATGTATATTGATGATCGTCTATGGAGTAGCGGTTAGGAGCTCGCTCTCGCACACAGAAGACTCAAGTTCGATTCCCGAATAGGGAGAATTCTTATCGAGTAACTCGGTCTTTCCGCTGAGACTGAGATCAGATCTATATCAAATCCTTCCACAGCACCTCTCAGATGATCTTAGTTTTTTTAGTTTTAGTAGAGGTTTTACGGCCCTCGCAACTATATAAGGCCATATGTGCGTCTTCAGATGATCATAAGTGTGTAGATAGGGGCGTATAAAAAACAACAACCCCC